CCTGCGTGTGTGGCAGGTGTAGGGGGGCAGGAGCCGGTCATGCCGCACTGAGACCCCCTGCTCACCCCCGGCGCTGCCCCCTCTGAGCCGCTGGCACTATGTCTGAGGGCATCTCCAGGGCTGTGCCTCACGCTGGCCTTGGCAGAGCTCGGGTTCTGCGGCCCTGCAGGCTCTTTCACACGGACGCTCACTCTTCACTCATGGTTCCACTCTCGGCTCTCCTGTGCCCGGGCACCGGGGACACTCGGGAGCCAAAGAGGCCCTGGATGTGCCCCCGGGCTGCGCACAGTCAGGTAGAAGCCACGCACGTCAGCAGGGCACACATCGCTGGGTCCTGCTCCCCGAATCACTGGTTACCTCACGTGTGACTGTGCAGGGGGGCACTCAGCCTGTGAAGCCTTCGGCTGCGTCTCGATCCCACATCCCAGACGCGCGAGTGTCGCCCAGCTGCTCAAACCCCGGCCAAGGCCTTGATGGGTCACAAAACCGAACTAAGCGCCACCAGCAAGAAGCCCAAAGCGAATAGGGCGAACAAACTGACCACGACATGGGGGCTTTTGTCCCCTTCAACACTCACGTTGCAACTCAGCCCTCAGGGCCCTGTGTTGGCGGCATCTGGAGAAGAGGGCCTTAGGGGTCCATGAGGTCACCAGGGCGGCCCCCTTGAGAACTTCAGTAGCTTTTGCTGCAGGCATGCGTGTACGTGCGCGTGCGTGTATGTGTGCGTGCGCGTGCCCGTGGTGCTGGGGATGGACCGTGGGCCCTGTGTATACTGGATGAGCACTGGCCATTGAGCTCCGGCCCAGCCCTGACACTGGTTGCTTTCTGAGGACAAAAGCAGGTCCACACGGGCCCACTTGCTCTGTCTGGCCGTGCAACACCCTGCGGCCCCTTGGGACTCTGCAGAGTCGCCACCAGCAGAAGTGCCTTACAGATGCAGCCTCTCAGTGCTGGACCTCCAAAGTCTTGAGCTGAATAAACCTCTGTTCCTTACCAATTCTCCAGGTTGTGCATTCAGTTATAGGAAAGGCAATGAACTAAAACCTAATCAAAGCTGGGCGTGCTGGTGCATCCCTGTAATCCTAGCACTCAACAGGCTGAGGCAGGAGGATCCCTGTGAGTTTGAGGCCAGCCTGGATTATACAGTAAGTTCAAGAGCAGCCTGAAGTATAGAGCTAGACTGTATCCCCAAAAACAAAACAAAAAGACCTAATCAAGATAGGATAGCTAGCTGGGCTTGGTGGTGCAGGCCTGTCATCCCAGCACTCAGGAGGCTGAGGCAGGAGGATTCCCTCAAATATGAGACCAGCCTGGGATACATAGTGAGATCAAGGCCAGCCTGAACTTGCATAGCAAGACCCTGTTTCAAAAGGGTCTCACACACACACACACACACACACACACACACAAAGATGGTTGAGTCCTGGCCAGACGGTGAGTAGGAGTTAGTTAGGCCTAGAGGGACACAGGTGCTGACCGAATCCTACCTTGCATTGTCCCTGTGTGCCTGCTCCTAGGGATCCCTCTCTGGGACCCTCTTTCTGGGCTGCAGGCCTTCCTTGCCCCGGCTCTCCCCGAGATTCTGCTCTGGTACCGACCTGTCCCTCTCAATTCAATTCTGTTCTGCAGGGAGAAACTCCAGCTCTCTATGTGGCATGGGTAGAAGGATGTAGTGCAGAATGTCGGGAGGCAGAGCATGGCGGGGTTCTGACTTGGATCAGACTTGGATCAGAGAAACTTCTGGAATTTTCTAGAAGGGGCTGGTGTGACAGGTAGCAGGCAACCCCGAAGCACTGTGCACAGCCAGCCCATGCACTGACCATGGGAACCAGGGTTGGGGGTGAGTGGGCCAGCTACACAGTGACTGATCTCTACAGCCCAAGGTACCCTGGGGACGTTGAAGGCAGTGACCTCCAGGACAAGATGAGGACAGGAAGTCCCTTATGAGGCTCTGTGGCTTTGGTGAGGGCTCGGGCTCATCTTTCCCTGGAGATGCTGCCACTCACTGTCCTGGCCTTGGTCCCAGGGTGGCTCCATGCCGGACGCTCAGCACAGAGCCTGGGACCATGGATTTCTGGGGAAGCCACTGACCATGCACTGGGGGGATCCTGTCCTGCCCTGGGTCAGATTCCCCCTTGTCCTTCCCTGAACAGGCCCAAGCAAAGCCAGCAGAGAACAGTCTAACAGTGGTGAGTCCATGTCACAGCTCTGTGTGGTACACCAAGCACTTCCCCCTGGGGCCTCCGCAGATTGTCCTACTGGACCCCGGGGGTCTGTAAGGATCCTGCTGGGGGTCCTGCTGGTACAGGAAGATGGAGGTGCAGTGGGGTAGCGGGAGGGGATGAGCAGAACCCAGATCTGCCAGGAGAGGGGTGGTGGGTGGCCGAGAGGCAGGAGTATTACGGCAGGCCAGTGTGACCTTGGGGCTGCTCCTGGTGGGCCTCTGGCATGAGTTGCTGGACATGGCTTAGGTCAGTGCCACCCTGGGAGTTGGGACTTGGTGAGCTCAAGGTTAAAGCCACACATTGTTACTGGGTGACTTGTTGTGCCCTCCTTCCTGAGAGCGTCACCACATGGGCCAGCTTGCAGGACTAGCTTTGTTCTTCTGGGTCAAGGCCCCACTGTTTTCACCATGCCCGTGTCCTCAACAAAACCCACAACACCCAGGGGCTCCATGTTTGTTGACTGAATAAGTGATCAAACTCATAGCCAAGTATCATGCTCTTTAACTTACACTCTTCCTGGAGCCCTCTTTCTCCCAGTGTGAAGCCCAGACTGCCCAGACTTGTCTAAGACCTGTACACTGGACCCAACCGACATCAGCCACCTCATCTTTCCACAGAGTCGCCCTGCCTCTAATCCCCAGCTCCAACCAAGAATTCCTAATCACCAACACAGGGCTTTTTCCCAACAGAGATGAGCCGCCCTGCAGGCTGCCTGGAACTTTCCTTCTGACCCAGGCAGGAGCTGCTCCTCCTGGAGAGCTGTCCTGCATGTCCCAGCTGACCAGCTCTGTCCGTGCTGACTGGGGGTCACAGGGTGATGCCAGTTTCGGCAGCCTGGCATTCCGGCTTCACCAGGTGAGGCCCAGCAAGGGCCAGATCCACTCTTGGTGCCTTCTCCCAAAAACAGCCCCCTCGCCCTGGGGAACTTCCATCCCTCCCCTCTGAGCCACGCAGCCACCAGGCACGGCTGAGCGAGTCATGAGACATCCACTTGATGGAATATCATGCAACCATTAAAACCACAATTATGAAGATGATATTTTGACATCTATGTGCGACATGCCAAATAGCACGATCTCCGGAGCATCCATTCCACCACAGAGCTCGGATGCTCGGCGCTTGCCTCGGCACGGGGGCAGCAGGGATGGGAAAGGGAGGGTTCAGTTCCAAAGAGGAGAAAGACACGCGGCTCCAGGGCCCCGAGCAAGTGACACAATGGGGCAGTGACACAGCCAAGGCCCCCCGTCCCTCAGAGAGTCTGGGGAGCTGCGAAGGGAAGCCACAGCACTGTGAAGATGATAGAGCTGGCTTGCGGACAAGCCTGGAAGGGGGTGGGGAGCGGGGGCTGTTGATGCCACAGGGCGGTGGCATTGCGGGTGATTTTTCCTTCCTTTATTGTTGGTCTAATGCTGTTTGGGCAATAAATAAAAAATTGGGAGGAAAAAATAGCTGTTCAGTGAATTGAGTGGAAATCAGGAGAAGGAGGGAGGGAACTAGGGGCTGGGACGGGGAGGGGACGGCGGCAGAGGGGTGTTCCACTGGGTGGCAGGGGGTGCGAGGTGGCAGCCTCAGGCAAGGCCCCCACCCTATCTGCTAGTGTCACTCTCCCCCTCAGCGGGGTCCGGGAGGTGGCCTAGAGGAGAGGTGGCCTGGAGGAGGCTTTGAAGGACAGGGAAGAGCAGGGTGGGCTGGGCCTTGAAGGTTTGGGACACAGCCTAGGGCCGGGACAGTGGGGGAGGGGGCAGACTGCGCTGAGTCTGCAGGTGACTTGGGGCAGAGGGCCTTGTGGGGGTTCTGGGCAGAGCTAGGGTCTCACTCAAAACAGCCCTCTGCAGGAAAGGAAGGCAGGGAGGGACGACTGAGCTCTGTGGCAGGGTGACAAGTGACCAGGTGTGACCACTGGGGTGACGCTGGTGTGCCTGGAGAGCTTAGTGCCCCAAAGCGTGCAACAGCAAGGAGGCCTTCCAGACTGAAAGGCGCCTTCCAGTTTATTACCCCTGCCCCGCCCCACACCCCAGGGCCGGCTGGCCTGGGATCCTACGGTGTGGCAGTCTGTCCAGCCACCTTCCCCCTCCAGATCCTCCAGGGCCGGAGTGCTCCCATTTCACAGTCAGGAGACTGAGGCCTGTGGAGCTTAACCAGCTTGCCCAAGGTCACAATCGGCCTGCGAGGGCAGGCGCCGGCTGGCATCTGACCCAGGCTGCCCACTTAGGCAGCTCGGCGCGATAGGCCTGGAGGGAACCCGGGCATCTGGGGCGCCTGTAGGGAAAGCCAGCGGCAGGTAAGGGGTCTGCGCGGGGAAAGGGCGCCAGGCAGCGAGGGCCACCCGGCTCGCGGAGCGGGCATGGGTACCTGTTTGTGAATGAATGCACGGCTGAATGAATGAATGGATGGATGAGTGTGTGCAGAAAGGAGGGGTGCAGGGAGAGGCGGCGCGGGGATGAGAACCCCTTTCTCTCCCTGCCCCCTCTCCGCGCTGGAGGCTGGCTTTGGGAGTCTCCCTCCCCCCACTGCTTAGGGGGCCGGCTCCCCAACCCGCCCCCTACCCCGCCACCGTAGCAAAGGACCGGAGGCGGTGGGGGACGCGGAGGCCGCTGCTCCCGGCTGGGCCAGCGTCCCCGCGCGGCGGCGCAGCCTCCCGCGCCGGGCCCCGCCGGCCAGTGCGCAGCTCGGCGCCCCCGCCCGCCGCCTCCTCCCCTTCTCCTCCGCCCTCCTCCCCGCTCCGCGCCTGCACGCACGGCCCCGCCGCCGCCGCCGCCGCCGCCGCCGCCGCGAGGGGAGAGGCAGCCGCGCAACCCGGCTCCCCGCGCCCTGCTCGCCCGCCGAGCCCAGCGCACCCGCCCGGGCACACGCACCCCGCCCCGGGCGCAGCCCCGCGCGCTCCCCTCGCTGCTCCGCCGGGCGCCCGAGCCGGGCAGATGCGCCGCCGCGCGTCCACCGCCCCGGGCCCGCCGCTGAGCTCCGCCGCGCGCCAGCGGCTCCTCTCCCGGCCCCCGCTGGGCGCACCCCGGCTCCGGCTCCCGCCTGCTCCTTGGAATAACCCCTGAGGCTCCGGCCGTCGCCGCAAAGTTTCCCGAGGAGACCCGCCTCCCCGCCGCCGAGCAGGTAAGGCAGCTGCGCGGGCGGGGGCCGGGGTCTAGGCGCCCGGGACCGGGGACGGAGCGCCGGGGCCGCGGGGCACCGAGGCGCAGCGGGGTCGGGCTGCGCGGCTCTGCCCGGGGCGCGGCGGGGGACGCGCAGCCCTTGGGATTCGGGGTGGGGGCCCAGAGTCGGCAGCCGAGCTCCGGGGGCGCGGGATGCGCTGCTGGCGGCTCCGCTTCCTCAAGCCGAGGCTGCAAAGGGCGGGGGTCGGCCGGAGCCGGGGACCGAGCCCTCGCTGCGTCCCCGGGGAGGCACCCTGACCCGCGGGGGAGCCAAGCTGGGCAGGTGGGTCTCCGTGCCTGCCCCTCACCCGGGCGTCGGGACCGAGGGGCGCGGAGCGAGGGCGGCGGGCTGGCCGGGGCGCCGCGCTCCGGTCCCCGCCAGCCGCGTGAGTCACGGTTAGAGCGAGGTTTTATTTTTAAAACGACTTCAAGGGGGGCATAGGCAGCCTCCAACTTCCCTCCCTGCGCGCTGTGGACCGTCAGACCGCGCCGGCGGGAGGCTGCTGTGCACCTGGAACGGTGGGGTACCAGATGGGGGCTGGGGGGCGGCGCACCGCTTAGGTCTCCAAACAAGGAGGCAACAGACTGGGCGCACCCCCTCTTCCAGCGGGGACCAGAGGCCCAGGGGCTGTTGCCGGGGCTGCGAACTGTGGCTAATCTGAGATCTCCGAGGAGGAGAAAGTTGTGGAGTGGTGACACCAGGGAGCTACCCCAGGCTCCCTGGCAGCCCCGGAGGGCATGGGGCTCACCAGGGCGTGTGGTTTTGAAAGAAGCCTAGCTGGAATGCAGCAGGCCCCCAAGACCCGAGCCAGGGCTCTGATGTGAATACATAAAGCCAAGACAGGTTGGAGGGTGAAAGTAGGGGCCTCTGCACTCTCAGCCATGGAGACCAGCTCTCCACTGTGCCCCTCCCCATGTGGCTCGGGACTTGGGGTGGGGGCTGGCTGTGTGGGGGACATGGCCTAGCACACTGCTGATGGCAGAGAGAGGAAGGCCTGGGGACCCTCTGCCTGCTGCACCAGCGAGGCTCACTCTGGGCTCCCGGCTCATGTTTCTGGAGTTGAAAGCCAACTGAGGCTCCCCCTGCCAGCCCCAGGAGGAGAGGCACAAACATCACCTGTCAGCTGGTGCTGCTCCACTCCGTGGGCGACAGTTCAGGGCTTCCTAGGAAGGTTTAAAATGGAAATGGCCTGAGCTGCCAGTGGCAGCCTGGGAGGGAGGGGTCGGTGCCTGTCTGGGCTGGCAGGGAGGGTCCTTGGGAGGCCTGAGGGGCAGAGAGAGCTGAAGGGCTGTCATATCCGGCTGAGGGGTCAGCTAGGGGCAGATCTTCGAGCAAGAGAAAAGACAGACATGGTGTTGGGCTTGGGGGCCACGCTTGTGCACCCTGCCCTGGGTTCACACAGAGCCACAAAGATGGGGCACATTGTTCAAAGAACCTCTGTGTCATGTTTGGGGCAGTCCACGCCCCCTTGGCAGCTGTAACCTGTGCTGACTTTGAGATCTGAGTCTGTGTGTCCATGCTCTACTATTTAGTGGTTTCGACTTCCTCTACCTCTCTGTGCCTCAGTTTTCCTCAGTAAAATGGGCTGGCTTTCCTGTATCCCCCTCTTAGATGTTTGCTGGAGTGGGTGGGGCCTTCATCTTAAAACCTGTTTGTATTTGTCAAATGTGCCCCATGCCCCCACCCCCCTCTTTGAGACTGGGTCTTGCTGTGTAGTTCAGGCTGGCCTTGAACTTAACTGTGTAGGCCAGGCTAGCTTCAAACTCAGAGTGTCCTCCTGCCTCAGTCTTGCAAGTGCTGTGACCACAGGCATGCACTACCATGCCCAGCAGTTAAATGTCCTTAATTAAATGTTCTTCCAAAGTGGAAGGGGTCCTCAGGGTGAGGGTGTCTGCAGACTTTGGAAGGTTGGAGTTCAGCAGTAGCACCCTTCCTGTGTCCCCCTCATGTTCCTCTGATGTCTCCCAGAGGAGCTCCAGGGAGATCCACCCAGCTTGTTTCTATGGAGATGATGCTGCTACCCCACCATGTCACCTGCTGTTAGGGCTACACAGGGAGGGCCATGAGACAGCATCACAGACTGTGAGCTGGTGGCCAAGCAGGGACCCAGGGACCCTGCCTGGGATGGGAAGACACAGTGGGTGGGCACGGGAAGGCAGAGCACAAAAAGGTGGCTGGTGGCATCTGTATGTACTTCAAAGTTAGTGAGAGAGGGCCAGAGCCTCCAGTGGCCCTGATTTGGCAAGTGTCAAGGGACAGAGAGGCAGGCCTGGAGCCGGCTGACTGTCTGCAGAGGCCTAGCATGGTGGCCGTTGTCAAGAAGGGGCTGCTCTGGTGCAGGCGGATGAGGAGGCCCCTGGGCCAGCTGGCATAGCTGTCTCTGCAGGTAGGTAGGACGCAAGAGGTGGGGAGACAGGGGCCACGGTGGAGCTGAAGGCCCTGCTGCATGCCCCTTGGGGATCTCCTGGCAGGCCCTTCTCCAGCTGTTCAGACTGGCCTGGAGTAGGGCTTGTCCCAGGTTGTGCAGGGGGAGTCTAACTCAGTTAGACCTTCTGCCCAGGCTCTGAAAACGACACCAGCCATCTAGGCATGCCAGCTGAACACGGTTCAAGGGTCTTAAGGCCTTGTTATGGAAAGGACTTTTTTTTTTTTTGGTACGGGGATTGAACTCACGACCTCGAGTTTGCCAAGCAGGGACTTACCTACGCTGAGCTAAACCCCCCCGCCCTGAAGAGGATTTCTTTGCCTGCCCAGTTCACTGTTAGTGGCTGGGCCTCTCTGACCTCATCCATGAAGTGAAGTGACAGTGGTAAACTCAGCTTGGGGTGCCCACTATGAGGTGATGCATGTAAGGTTTCTGCCACAGAGTCCATGACTTGAAACATGGGGCCCTATGGTCCATACCCTGGGTTCACACTGGGCTGGGGGGCTTTCAGCACCTTCAGGCTTTGGGGTGGTAGGAAGGACTGGCGCTGTCCTCACTGTGACACCAATGCCTGTGCTGGCTGGTCTCTCAGCCCCCTGGTGGTGAGGGTCCCAAGTGACTGCGGGGCTGTCCCAGAGCAACCTGAGGGAGGGGCTGGCACTCCAGGCCCCTTCTGGGCTGGGGTGTGTAGGGAGCCAGCTTGCCAGCACAGCAAGGGGTACTGGGCATGGGTGTGGCCAAGTGGCCTGCCTCATCCACCTTACCACAGGGCCAAACTTGAGAGAAGGGCTGACCTGGAACTCGGCCCTGACTGCGCTGGTGATGTGCCTCTCCTGGTAGGGGCTTTATGGTAGGTTGTCCTCTCCCAGAACTGGGCTGTTCTTGACAGAAAGTTAGGTCTGGCTCTGGCCAGCTTACAAGGTGGCTGTATCACCCTGTGCTGTGAGCCAAGCGGGGGCAACCTGGATGGCTGGGCCCTCCCTCCACAGCAGCTGCAGCCCAGAGGGGTGCAGAGCACCGTGTCTGTGCAGGCCCACATCTGCCTGAGCGCCCTCAGATGCCTGTTTACCACTGCGTGTGGCCCCCAGAGCCTGGCTGCTCCCCCGAGGTCAGCAGCTCTGCAGATGATGTCAGGGTTTGGGGCCTTGACTCATTCCGCGGAAGATGTTTGTTGGATCTGCTACAGCCCTGGGGCTCAGGTTCCCTCTATGGGGCCTGCAGCCAGTGGGGTGCCGGGAGAGAACTGGAAGGAGGTGTGGGAGGTTGGGGCTGAAGCCACGGATGCTGGACGGAGCCTGCCTGGCAGCCCTGGCTCTCTCTCCTTGCCTGCTCATTCATCCGCGCACTCACTCCCTCCTGTGACAGTTTTGAGTACCAGCTATATAGCCAGGCACAGCGCTGAGCTCAGGGACAAAAGCCAGCAGGAGCAAATGTGGCCCTCAGGGAACTCCCAGTTAGAGGAGGAGCCACACAGGGATCTGGTGTCCCCACCAGAGAGCCTTGCTTCTGTGGGGAAGGTGGCTGGGGAAGTGAGCGAGTGATGGGGAGCTTGCTGGGGCCAGGGGTCCAGGAGGGTTTCAGGAGGGGCTGCTTGGGTCAGGAGGTGAAGGGAAGCTGCCAAAGGAGAGGAGAGGAGCCGAAGGAGACCTAGTGCAGGTGTGAGGGCACGGGGCGCGCCCCGTGTGGGGCTGGTGGTTGCCTCCTGGTCTCTCCGTGGCCTGTCCGTTTGTCCTTCTCTCAGGACGTGCAGGGCAGCCTGGCTCTGCCCAGTCCTCCTGGACCCCATTTGGACAGGCCTGATCTGGCCTCTGGCGGGCAGCAAGGGCTTGTTGGGTTTGGCTGCTGTTCATGATGAAGGGGACTCCCCAGAGATCCTCCTCAGCCCTGAAGGGTCTCTGGGTTTGGGGTGGGGTGCAGGGGGGCAGGCAGAGGGAGAAGGAGCAAAGGCCCGCCCTCTTGGGGGCGCTGCGATGCTGCCTTGCAGTACCGGCTCAGCTAACCACTAGGGGACACTGCCTCCCAGGCAGAGCGCGAACCCAGGCACAGGGTGGCCTCAGCTGCCGCCTGCGGGGCTGGGAGGGTGCCTAGTGGGCGGCAGCGGTGGGAGGGCCCTGGGCTGGACTGAAACTGGGAGGCAGCTGGGGTTGGGAGGCGCTGGTCCCGGCCATCCCTGCCTGCATGCTGTGGAGAAGAGCTCAGCTCCGTGGCAGGATTTTTTCCAGGCCCTTTTCCCTCCTTCTGCTTGAATTAATCGTTGGCACCAGATTACAACAGATTTAGCAAACTGTAAAAAAAGAGAGAGAGAGAGAGAAAGAGAGAGAGCATGGAGAGGAAGAGAGAAGAGAGAGGGGGAACGACCAGAGAAAACGGCATGTATCTACAGAAGCAAACTGCTCTGGTCGGACCCAGCATCCCCCATGGCCCTCCACTCCTCACCCGGTGCCCTGAGATTCGGGGGAGGCTGCTCAGGAAAATGGCCTCAAAAACGCTGCTGGGTGCTGGCACCAGCCTAGGCTTTTCCTAGGGGTGGCCTGCC